AGGGAGGGTCTGCTTTTTGCTGCTGAAATTCGGAGCAATTCATCTTCTCTTACCCCTCGGCTCGTCCATTCCCTTTGCGCACGCCCGCTGCCTTTCCTCCTCCCGCTTCTTTGATCAGCTTCTCTTGCCTCCGAGAAGGGCACATGCAGCAGGGTTATTTAACGGTCCAAGGCCGTGGGAGGGGTTATTCTATGACTCAGAAGGAGAAGCAGGTTGGATTGTCTGCTTCCCCCCCGCCCCCCCATGGAAATCTTCCTGCTCCACATCTGCAGGGCAATCCTCACAAGTTCATCTTGGGCATTTGGTGACCCTCATCCAAGTATATCCTTCCCAACTTTCAGAGTTGTAAACTGGTGTCAGATAGGTGTACCTTATTGTACTGGCACTTTTCAGTACACAATTACTTAAGATTCTTTTGAAGTTGCCTGACGTTCAAGTCATTGCATCAGGATGGAAGAACTATTCCCAGAAGAACACTTCTATGCCCCCTTCTTCTTGCTACTGCTGGTGCTTATGAATGCTAGACAAAGGCTGTCCTTTCCTGCTCCCCCATGGTTTTGGAATTAGACTTTCCCTCCCTGGACATGTTGTATTTTATTTCCATTTTATTAAATTGGTATATTTCTATGGCTTGTAAATACCATTGACTGTAAATAAATGAAACGTGATATAAAAGAAATATGAAATATATGATCAGAGAATCACTTGTTTGGCTGAGGAGAAATTATTATATCCCCTCCAGACTTGTTCTTCCCCACACCTGATCAGAACCACATCCTTAGCACCACTTATTTTACATATACAATGTGCTATTATTTAAAGAAATGTATTTCTCTTTTCTCTCTATGAGAAGCTTAACAGAGTGGCAATACAGAGCTATTCAATCTATGAGTGTAAGCAAGAATGAAATTAGCTTTGCATAATCAACTCTCCATTTTTAAAAAATAATGTTATTTGGATAGAGGGTCTGGCAGGCATCAAATACATATTCCTGGATAAACTGTGACTTAACTGCGGCTTGACATTAATTTTCTTACTGTGTGTCTTGGTTTTATTTCTATAAGTAGAATAATTTATTCACAGTTCTGAATGGCTGAATATCTCCATCTTTGGTATGCATTCTCAAACCCTGTTTATCTTCTAAAATTATTTTTTAACAAAGCCATTTTAGAAATATATGCAGCACCAATAAGCCAAGGATTCCTCCTGAAAAGAGCATTATGAGAACCATATGTACTGTGTTCAATGCCTGTTCAAAATGAATGTGTTGAATCAGCTTTGCTTGGTTTTTCCTCTAGGTTGTGTGGGAGTATAGGGTCAACTGGTCAATTGGTAAGCACTCCAACTGAGGTAGTTGCAGGCATCCATGCAAAATTAACACAAATGGTACCATGCCTGTATCAGCTGATATAACTTGGGGCAATGTTGGTTGTATGTGGCACTCCATGTCTGGGGCTGTGTAAATGGATCCTGGCTGAACAGAATTCTAATGGGAGTTGTTGATATGAGAAGCCAGGGGTCAACCAGTCAACTACTCATATACATTTTTCTGTTGTCTAAGGGAGAATGGCATTGCAGTCTGATCTCCTGCACAGGCAAAACAAGAATGAGCAGCAGGCACAGTGTTCAATAACTGGAGGGAAGAGGGCTTCCAGGACCACAGTAGCAAAGGTAATAGGAGATATCAATTCATTGATGCAGAAAATATAATGGCAACATGGTTCATCCACCCACATCAAGGAGCCCCACTTTGACTTCATGGAATGATTTAAGCTGCAATAAGATGGAAAACACCACGAGTAGGGGAGCACCTCAGCCTGTCTTTGGATCGCTTCACCCTCTGATGAACCATGAGATATAGGCAGGGACACGTGGACGTGTACTCAGGGAAGGCCTGCTGAAGCATCCTCATGCCAAGGTAGAGATTATGTGGATATGCTCTCAGTAACTAGCTAACAGGAGAACCTTCAAGGACTCAGTATGACTGCATAGAAATTTTACTGCAAATTAGAACATGTATTGACATAGAATATTAACTACAGAATGCAAGAATCCGACTATATACATACAAGTTTGTGTGCTTGTGCGTACATATGTTATGTGTATATCAGCCCTGAGAACTTAAATCCTAGGTCTTCTAGCTTTTGTGGTAATGGACTTTTCATTGCTTTTTTCCCAGACTGGAATCGGGAGAGCACCAGCACCCTATTTACTTAATGGTCTTGACTAGTCTGAAGCTCTTTGCTTCCTGTTTTGCCAGCTTCAGCCCTCACACCAGGACACTTTCCACTCAGAAAACTTCAACATTTCTTTCCTAATGATTTATTTGTAGCCAACTGGGGAACACAATTGCACAAACAATTATGTTTTTAGAATATTTTTATCTCATATTTTAGTATACCCAATGAATAACATAAAACTATAAAGTATTTATCATAGTGTAAGTCTTAAAAACCAACAAAACTAAAATGTCACAGACATGCAGTGAGGACATTTTGTCCATTTTCTACCCAAGACTACATAAACTGATTGCTCATTTATCTCATGCTATTTTATAGGGTGTGCGTGTATGTGTGTGCGGTGTCTACGTATATGTATGTATGTGTGTGTTTTTACCCATTATAATTTTCATGTACAGATTTTTCATGCACTTGACTTTATTGTACCTTACCCAGGATTCAGGTGGGTTATAAATATTGTAAAATAAATATAGTTTGTAAGTGGGATGTCCCATCTAGCATGTTTTTTCCTCCAAAGAGAAAATAACAACACAATTATCTTTCACACATCAGCACAAAAATCACATGTGCACTTAAAAATATACTAGTTGAAATTACACTTTTGCAAGAATATCATGCCATAGTTAAAACATGGCTGACTTTTTACACTGCTTGAAAGATAATCTGCTGCTCTAAAAGATAGATTTTGCTATAGAATTGCAAAAACGTTTACTGGGGTACATCGAAGCAATCTGAAAAACCAACTATGTTTGGGCTACTAAATCTGTCACCTCTTGGAGTCCACTTCAGACACTTCAACCATTTGATAGCAAATACTGTATGCAGCACATTTATATAAGAGTCACTTGTATAGTGAGATGGGCAGCATATATACATTTGAAAAATAAATCAATCACTGGGCGGCAGTGGTGATGGTGGTGGTGGTAAATTTATTCCTGTTAATATAGTAATATTTGAGTTTTTCTCTTATGTCAGTCTGCTCTTATTTATGAAGTACATGTTCAACTGTTACATGTTTAAACTTCCTAAAGGTGGTAAGATTTGTGTTCCCCATTATAAATACTGTTGTGCAACACACTGAGATGTTAGCCTAGCATACTACTGCCATGAGTTAAAATTCCTTCAGTGGTGAGGAATCATGAGAAAACCCTATTTTGTAGTTCCGTAAAAGAGCTCTCTGTGAGAAGACAAAAATGTGGAAGTGTAATAAAAATATTTTTTCCTAACACTATAGCATTGCCTTAAAGCATCATATTTTTAATTTTGCTTTTGTACATTTACATTCAGATAAACTCTGGTAACACATTTTGAGACTAACAATTTTATTTAAGGGATAAGCTTTCATAAGTTGTAGTTCATGAAAGCTTATGTCTTAAATAAAATTGATAATTTCAAAAGGTGCTACCAGATTCTGTCTGAGTTTTGGTTACCATAGTCTAACACAGCTCTCATCTTTCGATATTCAGGTAAAATTACTAAAATTTGAAAAATGAGGATCTGGAACATAGAGTATCTAAGGTCTTGGTGCTAGGAAAAAAATGCAAATTTTGTGGATCAGTTCCCCAGTTACAGAAAGTTTAGAAGAAGACTTGGTTACGGGTCGTTAGTTCTGGTTCTATTTCTGGCATTCAGAATTAATTTTCTACAACCCGTAATCATATAGTTTGGATTCAAGTTGAAATGATCTTTCCTACATTATCACAGGATTCCAGAAACTTAGCTCAATCATTTTAGTTAACTTTCTTAGACATATCCTCTCCCTCCCGCTTTACAGGGTAATGCAAGTTTTTCTTTTTTAGCCACTTTTTAACATTTTCTGCCAACTGCAGGTAGAATCGTAAAAAATGTCATATCCTATAATCTCTTGAGAGAATCCTTATCAAGAAAGGCAATAGGTTTACTACGCCAAATAGCATTTTCCTTAACCCCAAATCCACCCAACCCTGAATCAACATATATTACATTTTTTCTTTTCAAATATGGAGCAGCCCCCATGAGAGAGAGAGAGAGAGAGAGAGAGAGAGAGAGAGAGAGAGAACAATAATAATGTTCTAGATTATAAACTTATGGTTTTTAGTTCCTCTTTGTTTCTAATTGGCTGTGTTTTACTACCTCTTTCTATATAGCTGCATAAGAGTGGTTTAAATTTGCAGAGGAAGTCACCACTTGTTCTTTCTAGAAGCAAAGCTTTGGGGAAGTTGCCAAGCTTACTTAAGATAAAGAGTATACTTTACATAAAAAATACAGAGCAGCTCTGGTCTCTATAGAGCAGGTCACAACCATATCATACTTTTCTTAGATATTTTACCCTAAGCAGCATTTCAAAATACTAATTAAAGGATTGGGGGTGGAACAAAATGGTCTCCTGGAATCCTTTAAAACTTGGTTATTTCTTTAAATATGAGATTATGGCATACAAA